AATGTGTCCAGGCGGGTTTTGAATGTCTCCAGGGAAGGAGACTCCACAACCTCCCTGGGCAGCCTGTTCCAGTGTTCCGTCACCCTCACTGAGAAGTTTCTTCTCAAGTTTAAGTGGAACCTCTTGTGTTCCAGTTTGTACCCATTACCCCTTGTCCTATCATTGTTTGCCACTGAGTAGAGCCCGGCTCCATCCTCGTGACACTCCCCCTTTATATATTTATAGACACTTATAAGGTCACCCCTCAGTCTCCTCCAAACTATAGAGACCCAGCTCCCTCAGTCTTTCCTCATAAGGGAGATGCTCCACTCCCTTCATCACCTTCGTTGCCCTGCGCTGGACTCTCTCCAGCAGCTCCCTGTCCTTCTTGAACTGAGGGGCCCAGAACTGGACACAATACTCCAGATGCAGTCTCACCAGGGCAGAGTAGAGGGGAAGGAGGACCTCTCTCGACCTACTAACCACCCCCCTTCTAATACACCCCAGGATGCCATTGGCCTTCTTGGCCACAAGGGCACAGTGTTGGCTCATGGTCATCCTGTCGTCCACTAGGACCCCCAGGTCCCTCTCCCCTACACTGCTCTCTAACAGGTCGTTCCCCAACCTATACTGGAACCTGGGGTTGTTCCTGCCCAGATGCAGGACTCTACACTTTAGCTTGTTATATTTCATCAAGTTATTCCCTGCCCAGCTCTCCAGCCTGTCCAGGTCTCGCTGGATGGCAGCACAGCCTTCTGGCATGTCAGCCACTCCTCCCAGTTTAGTGTCATCAGCAAACTTGCTGATAGTACACTCAATTCCCTCAATGCAGCAAGGAACGAACCATGGCACATCCTTAGGGATGTGTTAAGAGCCAAAATCGAAGTGCCTACATTCTCCCTGACTTCTTCTACCCAAATGCCTCCTCTGAAAGACAGAGGAAAATACCTCATGTTTCATTTCAATTGGAAAATGGTTTATTAAACAGGCCCAGTAGGTTAAAAAATTAATGTCATTGGTCTTTGTGAATGTTTAGACCTGACAATGTTGCTAGCTAAGGGGCACTGGGTTTTGGATCTGCAGACATCAATGACTGCTGCTTGCATGGTGGAAAGCAATTGCTTTCATACAACCTGTTTTCTGATATACCTAATCAGGCTGACAGACCATGCCAGTGAGCAAGCACTGCAGAAATGTAAAATAACATATACAGTGATAATTCAGGAAGAAAGTCTTTTGAATAGGCTGTTTGGGACTTGAAAGAGCTCAGGAATTAGCATAGAAATTCCTGGTCAAGTTAGGACTCCTTTTGTGCTCAAGGATGATGTCCAGGTGGATGTTAAACTTCAGGAGGACACAAGCAGGCCACAGCTAAGTTGTATTTTGAAAATCATGTTAATTAGTCAATCAGTAAGAGGAAGAAACACAGGTTTAAGAGAGGAAGATGACTAGGGAATGACCCACCTTCATAATAGTTTCATTCACAGCAGTTCAGCAGAGCCAGTCCAGTGCTACAGGGGGCACCTTGGGCTGTCTCGAGCACCATGGTGAGGAGTCTGAACTTGACACTGGGCTCTGGGAGAACCCAGCAGCCTTAGCACTCAGTCAGATTCATACTGAAGTGTCTGATCAAATAGAAAGTGATGAAAGCCACGCAGCTGACTTGAGATTCTTCACTCTACCTGAGACAGAGAGATCTTGGGCTTTCTCTCTCAGCTGACACTCACTGTCAGCAAATAGAGACATAATTGTGCCTTCTTGTACTGGGAGAGGAAATATACCTTTTGAAATATCTAAGATGAAAACCTGGCTTTTTTCATGTGAGTGGCAAAGATGAACTCCTACAGCAAGACCGGATGGCTGGGAGAGGTATATATGCCCTGCAGAGATTAGAAGACAGAGAAAGCTTTCTATGGCAAATTCAAGTGCTTTAGAGAGAAGCAGTCCGTCTGGGGGATGCTGCTGTTAGTGCTCTGCTAATGGTATTGTGTGGTGGTCATTACTCTGACAAGCATTCAATAAAGCCATTTTGAGAAGAGAAACAAGAAAAACAATGTACCAGAGGATTACCTAAAATTTAGATCAGCTCGGCAGCTAGTCTGCAGAGGTGTCATTCTTCAGCATGAAAGCAGCAAGCAACAGATAAAGGCTGTGATAATTACCCATGCCTGCATCCAGCTACCAGCTTGGAGAACCTTTTCTCTCTCTCTGCCTGACAGCAAAGAACAGCACATGTATGGTAAACACGTGTGCAAGAGAAAGAGCATTTGTGTGTCCTGAAGTAATTCCCTGACATCTGGTGCTTTCAGGTTTGTCAGCTGTCACAGAGATTGCCGCAGTGCTCCTGTATCCCAGGCAGCTCTGCTTCCTCACCCCTCGATGTGCAGAGGCTTTCAGCACACCCAGCACTCATTAATGAATTCATCCTCAGCTTCTTTTCAAGCATTTTGACTGCTGCTTAGTCTACCATAGCCAATACCGAGGGCATGGCAAATATTGGGGGATTTCTCTCTGTCAGTGCATTTATAAGGATGAATCTACAGACATTTTCTTAAAGTTGGTTGGTTATTGTTTTTTTTTTTTTTTTGCTGTGACACTTAGGATGATCTCCAGCTCTTGGGACCTTCAAATTCAGAGTTCTAAACACTTTTTTGCCCCTATCAGTTTGGCACCAGGATTGGTGAGTTTGTGGTTTGGGTTTCTTTTTAGACACTGTGTCCATTTTTCATTCTATTTTAAAGAATCACTTTAATCCTGAAGAAATAGGAAGAATTCTTATAGGAAATAGGAAGCAACAGGTTCAAATACACACTTGGTAAACAGAAATCTTTAAAAGCAGAATAATTTTATCCCAAAAGGACGAGCACTTAAATGGAATGATGCTGATATGGGACTCATTCAAGCGCAGTGCCCACCACCCTCAGATGCCAGTGCAGGAGGGACTGCACCTTCCCAAAACCTCCTCAGAAGACATGTAGGACAAGCTTAGAGGTTTAGTTTCCTACAAAGCACAGTTACAGCTCCTGCTTTCTTTCAAGACAGCCATTCCCTTCTTCCATGGAGTATTCTACTCATTAAAGTATTGTCCTGGGATGGGAGAATGGTGTGGGGGTCTCCAGATTCATCTCCCTATTTCCCTCTGTCCAAAAGAAGGGGAATTATCTACGTGTTACTGCAGGCAGCAATGCTCACCCATTGCTACAGAGCTCTGCATCCAGCAGAGAGAATTCAGGACTCCCTGGGCAGAGAATAAAAGAGCATAGAAGGAAGAGTAAAGCTATAATCCTCTCTAAGCCATGCATTTCAACAGCCCTAGACCCAAGACTGTCTCCAACCCCTTTGCCACACCCAGACAAGGATGTCTGAGGAGCATGGGGACTGATGGGGATAGGCAGCAGTAGAAAGAGCTCCTGGCATGGCAGGGCTCTGCAAGAGGGTAGCACAGGCAGGAGAAAGGGGGGAGTCTTCCTTCTGTGCACCCCACATGGCAGGTTTCTCATCCCTGCAGTTGTCAGAGATCAGGAGGTGAAGGAGAGGGGTAAAACAACATTTTCCCTTCACATCCCCTTCTCTCCACAGCCCCCTGTTTAATTAAGAGCCTGGAGAATCAAACTCCAACATTTCATGTAACAAGGCCACATACAGAGCGCAGTGCCTAACATCTGCTTTACTGGTAATTGGCTCAAAGTGCGAATGTTTTTAAGATAATGAGCTTCCTCTATTTGCATTCCAGCCATCTAAACTTCCAGATTAGGAAACTCACTGTAGCTGTTGAACATCAGCTTCTCTCTGGATACAATGCTGCCTGTGCCGGTGCCCCTCTGTCCTACAACAAAGGCATGCTGCCCATCAGTGGAGAAATTAATCAAGTACCTTTTGAAGTCTGGCTGTGTACAGACTCTTTGGATGAAAGGTGTTATTTAAATATTAGCTGTCATGACGACGAGAATGATTATGGTTATTTTGGCCATATTAGTAATAATAAGTAATAGCATTTTTAAAGGTATTATTGAAATCTCAGCACACAGCTCAAATGAAAGCTGCAAATATTGCTTATTAGAATAGCCAGTCAAAACATTTTATTCTAAGTATTTATCTTGTGCAAACTCTTCCTATTCTGTATGGGAAGTTCTGCCATTTACCCTGAAAAGCTGCAAACAACAGTAAACCAGAATTATTTGCCATAAATTGTTAAAGACTTCAGGTTCATCTTAATTTTGAAATAAAAGTTCTAAAGAAAAGGAAGTTTTCAATATTTTCCACAGAGCCCATACATATTTTTCACCAGTTTTACTATCCTTGGTAGCCTTCACTAATAGAGATGTGCAAATGGGTGCCTTAGAAAAATAGCCCATAAAATTTAGGGGGGTTGTGTGTGCTCTTTTTGCTCTTTCTCCCTATAATCTAGTAATATATGTCTCAATGTCATTTAGTAATACTGGTTTTTGTCTGCCTGTATGGCTGCTAGCAGCAGGAAGAGCAGTTCTGATAGTATTTGGAAGATATGTCAAATATTCTTTTGACAGGAGAGAGAAAGACACATAATGTAATGGGTTTTGTCCCTGGGAAGACAGGGTTCAGCACAACACATGAAGCCATGCACCAGCCAAGCCTTGCCCACAGCCCCTGGCAGTAAGCAGCACCTGATGTTGCAATGGAGGGCAATATCCCTGCTAAAACAGCATCCTGTGCACAACACACTGGACTTGCCCATGGATCCATCTTTAAGGCGTCTTTTCTTAACATGAGAATGTGCCATGTTGGGTCATTAATGCAAACAGAGCTGTGCTGCAAAGCAGCTGAGAACCTGGCTTCCTCTACCGATACAAATCTCATTCTTTTCAAGTTTTTCTATACTCATGAGGATTCAGAGACCTCCTGCCAAAATCAGCTATGGAGAGAAATTTATTGCTCTACAGTTCCCAGCAGATTCATATTTCCCTTTGGCTACTGCTGACGAGCAACAACACTGAAAAAGCTTAAAGCAACTGTAATTACTCTTTATGCTCTACTGTTCATACCTGTCCAGTGAAATACAGCAGAGGTGCAGGATTGATGCTGTGGTGAGCAGGACATCGAGGGATGTCCGGACAAGGCAGAACATTTCCCCATAGATCCAGTTGTCCTGAACCAACTCAATGGCTCCAAATGGCATCACCAGCACTGACACCAGCAGGTCCGCAAAGGCAAGGGAAACAATGAAATAATTGGTCTTGATTTTCCTGCAAGACAGATCACAAAATTAGGGTGTAGAATAGTTTCAGTGTAGCATCCTTTACATGTGGACAGAGATTTAAGCTCTTGTTTGGGTCTAATTCACTTAATCACACTAAATGGTTCTTCATAATGTACTCCTCATTTTAATGGTCACTGCTGGCTTGTTCCTGGGTTTTATAGCTTAATATCCACCATGCTCCCTGCATAAACACATCTTTCTGCTCACACTGAAGAGGCAAATAGATGCTCGCAGGCCTCTGCATGTGGCTCCGCCTCACAGCTTGCATTGGAGAGTTTGGGGTGGAGAAGGGGAACTTTATTTCAACTTGTAAATTGAGAAAATCCTTCCAGAAAGCACGGAGAAGAATCTAGACTGAAGCTGTAATTTTAACTTGAAGAGTACTTTTTTAAATCATAACAATAAAATAGAATTAAATCCATTAAAAAACCCACGCAGAATATGAATAGAGGCTGTTGAATATCTCACTCTGCTCCTGAGGTTGGTCTGACAACTCCCAGGGTAGCAGCAAAGCATCAAGACAGGAGTTGTGCCTGTGGAAACACTCCCCCACCCTCCAAAATCACTGGCAGCATTTTGCCAAGCTGCAGCAGTGCAGCACAATGGCCACAGGGCCTTGGTCTGCATGGCTTTTTTATAGCCTCATTAGGAAACCTGAGATGGAAGAGGGGTAGAGGGCAAGATGCTTCTCCAAGGAATTAGCTCCGTTTTTCACTGTTCTACCCGGTTTCTTTACATTGAGAGTGCTAAAAATGTAGAGTATGGATACTAAAATGATCCCACCACCCCAGTGTAAATCTGAATGAGGAGGCACTGAGGCAGTGTGGGTCTGACATCGCAGTTGTGCAATGTATGGACAAAGACACCCCTTGTCATGACAGTTTATGCCCTCAGCTGTGGACATGGGCCCTGTTAGACGGGCATTTCCCCCTGGTTGGGTGGGCTCACCTGAGCTGCCTGTCCCGGCACACGGCCACCATCACCAGCAGGTTCCCCAGGATGGCCATCAGTATAACGGCGGAGATGAAGGTGAGCAGCACAATCCTCTCCGCTACGCCAAAGCCCTCACTCGAACTGGGGAGCACACAGAAATAGAAGAGAAGAGAAAAGAAAAGAAGCTGCAGTGGCACTGGGAGAGGGTTGCGTGGGCAGTGCTAAGGTGCTTGGGCACTTCTTGTTGTGAGTGTGAGAGCAGCATCCCCACACAACAAAGCAGCCTTCCCACCAGGACCATTAATAAAGAGATTTTGTGTTTATGGGGAAGGCTGCAAGGCTTGTGTTCATCAGCAGAAAGGCTACAGGCAGAGGACACCCGCAGCCACCCAGCTCTCCCAGTGATGGGTACACCAGCATGTGCAGTGAAGGAGCCCATTTCTGAGGGCTGCAGTGAACTGTGCCTGATTTCTGAAAGTCCCTTCCAGTTCAGAGCCTTGGTTGAAAACATTTTCATTCTCTTTTCACCTCGATAAATAAAGTTATTTTCTCTGCAGAAGTGTTTTGGTTTTCTTTCATTTTTCCATTCTTCTCAAGGTTTTCCTCAAAATGAGCATTTTACACCTTGAATTTTGAAATCTATGTAATCTTTTCCCTTGTTCTCTCTTCCTTTCACTCTGCAACACAGAACAAAAGGCAGTCTGGCTTTTTTTTCTTTTTCGTTTTTCTTTTTCCACAATTAGGGAAAAGAAAATAAAGTTTTAAAAGGAACCTGACATCCCTCTACCCTGATGCCCGTAATTTCTTTCATTTAATGACAAGAAAGAAAAGAACAAGGAAGGATAACACAAGAACACAATGTTGGACTTATTTTAAATTTGCATTTCTACAAATATCTTGTCAAATGTCTCAAAAAAGTTGGGTTTTTTGAAGGCTGCAAAGCAGGGAGGTAACGCACAGCACACAATAAATAGAGTTCAATTCCTCATAAAATAGGTTTTATAACAAAATTCTGAGCCACTTTTCTTTTAAAGGTATTTCCAAATATGAATCCAGAACAAAATGCATCCTAAATGATGACAAAGAACATCCTTATGATTTAGCGTAAGGTGTCCCTACCCACGACAGGGGGGTTGGAACTAGATGATCTTAAGGTCCTTTCCAACCCTAACGATTCTATGATTCTACGATTCTAAACCTTTGCCATCTTGTGTAACTTTCCCTATGACTTTACACTGGTGAGAACGGGTATTTGTCCATACACTGGCATTAAGAACAGCATTTGACACTAATTCAGCAGGGAAATTTCTTCACAGCAGGCAGAGCTGGCATTCAGCACCCAGGATTAATGTTGTGAGATTGTGGAGGTAACAGAGAGATTGAACTGTTATTCTGATTTACTTTGACTTCCCCCAGGGTCATTTCTTATTTACTAAATACAGCCCAGACTTTTACACTTTATCCCTTTGAATTGTCCTGGTTTCGGCAAAGCTGAAAAAGATTAGAGACTGCTGAAGTCCTGCCTCTGCTACCGGTTAATAAGCTTCTAGAAACTGACCTCACCCTGAGTCTGCGCTGTAGAACATCCACTTAATCATAGTCTCAATTTTTTGCCCTAAAAGCAATACCACTTTGAGTGCAACTTTTTGTGCCCACTGCCTACTGCACCAGTGGGTCAGATCGCAGCCTGCTGAGGCTGAACTCTTCATGCTGAGTATGAACAATACCTTAGGAATTTCTTGATTTTCAATGTTTTAGAAGGAAATACATCACTGGGAGACAGATGAGGGTGTTCATGAGCAAATAAAGAACAGGAAAAGAGATGCCCTGGCCTCACACTAATTTCATAGAAAACCATAGCACTAGGCAGACACATGCAGGCTCAAAACCAAGTGCAATTATATGGCTAATAGGAAAGAGGTTCAAGGCAACTGCATATCCTAGCTTCATAAATGTATGTCCATACACCAAGTACTTTCACACCTGTGAGAGCACAGGTAGCTTTTAATTCCAATAATCTTCTGTTTGAAAACTAGAAGATTAATAAATGTCACATACAGTAGACACAACTCTACAAGGTTTTAAGGCAAAATGTCCCTTAGTGCTGCCAGGCACGTGGCCTTCTGAAAGTGGGCTGCAGAGGTACAGACAAGGGGGAATGGGTGTCTAAGGCTGAAGGGTATCAAGCAAGGAGGTGGGTTTCTGTATCAGAATTAATGTTCCCAACCCAGAGGTAAAGGCATGACTGCTTCTTTTGCCTGCTGGTTATCAGTGCAAATGTCAGTAAATAGTCCTGCTTAAGGTAGGAAGGTCTCTGGGGTTATGCTGAAGCAGTCAGACATAGCCATGGGTTTTCACCCAGCACTTGTTTTTGTGCAAGTCAATTATAGATGCTAAGATAGGAGAAAGGCAAAGGCAAGATGCGTTTTCATTTAGGATCTGAAAGTTTGCACTTAATTAGAAAAAGGTGTCTACTGAACTTGGCACAACTTCAGTGAGCGCAATTAACGCTCCAAGAAGCTGGCAGCTCCAGGCAAATACTTCAGTGTACGCAGAAATGTTGACAAGGCTCTGCCTGAACTAAATGTGTCTTTCCCAGTTTTTACTGGAGAGCGCTGTTTCATGATACCTTGGCTCATTAGCTCTTGGACAACTCTTTCAACAAGTGGATTTTGTGCCTGTAGTTCTTGCAATTACACTGCAACTGCTGCCTGCAATTTGCCTACACTGGCCCAAGTCACACTTATTCCCATCTGACAGAATAAAATTCCTATTGATCAAAAGGAACTGCATAATCCATCATTCTGACAGTGGCCTGTGGGAAACGAAATACCTACACACATATAGGAGTACCACCTTTGCATGCTCTCTCATGCCGCAGAGGTCTGCACCACAGTGGGTTTGTGTTTAACAACTTGTGGAGGATTCTTTGGCCTTCCTCTCTTTGGTCTGTCTTTTGAGCTCTCAGTACATGGTGAACACTATCTCTGGGCAGCTTTCCTTCTTGGTCTCATACTAACATGCTAAATGCAAAACCAAGCAAATAGAACCAGTTTCTCTGTTTCTTAATCACCAGCGAGCACCCCAAATTCCACACAGAGATTCTTTCCTCAAAATTAAAAGTAACTGGCATCTAATTCCTTATTCTAACACTGAAATTCGAAGACATCCTAAAGAACTGACCAGAGGGCTGCTCCTAGAATAGGTGTCCCTTCTTCCCCTGCTAGAAATCGTTGTCCCTCTCTCCCAGCCATCCCCACATACAGCTGATCTGCAAGACCTTATTTTCCTCAGAAGCAAATCCTGCACTGGAGACTGTGGGAGGCAGGAAGGTGGGAGTTGCTGACACCTGAACCCGCACTGCAGACAAGTCCTTCGGAAAAGGATGAGTGGCCAGGAGCGGGTCCTTCCCTATGGGCACCGTGCACAACAGATGCACAGGGTGATGCTCCTCTGCTAGAGGTGCACACATGGCTCTGGGCCCACTGCTTGCCCGACTCCTGCAGGTCACTGCTGCACAGCTGGGGAAGGTCAGACATCTGCCAAGCATCAGTATTTTGAGCACAACCCGATGCCGGAGCCTTCATTAATAACATTCAGTAGCAGAAGACACCATGAAAATTAAAGTGCAATGGAATAGAACTTCAAAGGGAGGTCTCAGCCGCAGGCCTTCTAGCTGAGTACCAGGTGGGATGAAAAACCTCAGGAACAATGAGGATGCTGGGATCAAAGACACCTTGACTGCCAAGCTGTAATTGTACCTGTCTAAATAAGCCTTCACAATAGGCTAACATTGCTTTGTGGCAGCACCTGTGAAACAAAATGTCAAACCACACTGAACAGTGCCGTACAAGAGATGCTCCTTGTCCTGGGTGAGCACGGGCGCACACACATGCTGGCACAGGGGTAAAGAGGACGATGATGGTTTAGTTTATACAGAGCCAGGCTGAATTAGATTTATGGTTTGTCTTATCTAGCTTTGCCCATCCTTCTGCTGTCCCTAAACAATTCCCATCACTGCTTTATTTGAGCACCTTGCAGCCACACTCTGCAGTGTGTACAGAGGGGGAGCGACACCTCCTTCATCCCCAAACCTTGCCAGGGTGGTGAGCTGTGGATTGGGCTACTCACTCAACCATGCAGTGCCTTGGGAGGGGGTTGGCACGGAGCCACATGTCACCAGATGTTGCCCTGCTCAAAGACTGAGGGGTGCTTCAGCTTCAGCCAGTGTACACAGGCACCCCTGCCCTGAAAGCACAGGCATCCTATTCTGCATCATTTGACTTGGCTGGCCACAGCCAGGGCTCTGAACAGAGGCCAGCAGGTCAGGAACACACACTGGCACGCTTGTCGATGAAGCATTTGCTGTGATAATAGTTTTGGAAGTGTTTGGGAGATTTCTCCAAAGAGTATTTCTCTCATGCCATGTTGCATTGCTCCCCTGGGGAACATTAAAGAGGCATATGCATCACCGGGTGTGCAGGAAGGATGTTCATCTGGGCTATGCTTCTATACATCTGCCTTTTAAGTAATCTATCATGAAGTAGGAATATTTGTTAATTATTCAGTCACAGTAATTCAAAGCTGTTAATAATGAAAGAAGTGGATATTGCTGTAAATTAAAATCAATGGTTTGCATAACATCTTTTATCAAATCTGAGCACTCTGGCTCCCAAGCATGCTTCCCTGTTTAATAAAGCAGAGATTGATGGGTTTGCTATTATGAGGAAATGAGATTCAGACAAAATGATTGTTGGTTAGTAGGAATATAGAAATCACTTAAGGAAAAAGGTGAAATACCGATGTGGAATGAATGCTTAAAACCCATGCATGGATGTATTTAAAAGGCTCTTCTGTATAGTCATTAAAGTGAGTAAAAAAATTGTAATTATTTTTTTAAGCTCAGTTTCTACTTTCCTGTAAACACCACAACTTTTCTAAATGACCTCAAGTGCTTCTGTATATTTTATGCAGCAATTAAACCACACACATCAGTCATGTTGGTAAGACCACGCACATTGCTCCTCTGGTTTTTGTTACACATCACACCCTGACCTCCCTGCACTGCCACAGGAAAAAACCTCTCCAATAAACGGCTCAGTGCACCTTGGGTAATGCACAGACACTCCTGCAGGAGTGCA